GCAATAGCTAAACCTTAATATTAGCAAAATAGAACCTAAAGGCTAAAATTAGCTAAACAAAACCTAAAAGCTGAAATTATCAGACCAGTAGCTGAAAGCTAAAACGAGCATAGCAATAGCTAAACCTTAATATTAGCAAAATAGAATCTAAAAGCTAAGATTAGCTAAACAAAACCTAAAACTGAAATGTAGCAAAACAGTGGCTAAAAGCAAAAAGTATTAGATCAGTAGCTGAAAGCTAAACTCAGTATAAAAGTAGCTAAAATCAATGTTAGCAAAATAGAACCCAAAGGCTTAGATTAGCTAAACAAAACCTATAAGCTGAAATTTAGCAAGGCAGTAGCTAAAAGCAAAAATTATTAGATCAGAAGCTGAAAGCTAAAACCAGCATAGCAATAGCTAAACTTAATATTAGCTAGATAGAACCTAAAGCCTAAGATTAGCTAAAAAAAAACTAAAACCTAAAATTATCAGACCAGTAGCTGAAAGTTAAAACCAGCCTAAAACCAGTATGACAGTAGCTAAACACAATTTTACCAAAATAGATCCTAAAGGCTAAAATCTAAAAGTTAAAATCTAGCAAGGCAGTAGCTAAAACCTAAAATTATCAGACCAGAAGCTGAAAGTTAAAACTAGCCTAATAGTAGCTGAATGTAATAATAGCAAAGTAGAACCTAAAAGCTGAAATTAGCTAAACACAAGCTAAAAAGCTAAAAGCTATAAAACAGCAGCTAAAGGCAGAAATGATCAGATCCGTATTGAACATCAAATAACTCGTCTTTGTGGGGTCTTCTGTTGTAAAACTGGATTGGTCATGAAGTCTCTGTTTAGCTGCGTTTACGAGCTTAAATGTCTGTAAACAACAGATCAGGCAGGAAATGAAGGGGAGCAGCCAGGTGTGGTGATTAACCGTTATCTCTGAGCCGGAGGATGGTGATGTATGAGATCTATTACAGCTCCATGACACGTGAATAACTGCCCTCGTCGGGGGAGAACCTGCGACACGGCGAGCACACAGAGCTCCGTTTATCTTCAACCATCAGAACAGGATAAAGCTCCTGATGAAAGCTTTAAGCAGGTAACAGAACATTAATCATCCAGGAGCTGCATAATGAAGCTGCAGCAAACTGTTTGTTGTGTAAACACACAAACAGGTGCAGAATGTTTGTTTTTAGTTTTAATATCTTATCTAAGAACACAATCAGTCAAAAACTCCTCCTTCCTGTTCTGGGTGCAGAGCTGTTTGTTGAGCTTTTCATTAAAAAGTTTCATCCTTTATTCAAACTGAGGTCAGGGTTGCCAGATAAAGATAACTTTTGTGTTTGTCCCTGCTTTTCTGTGCACATTTAGACTAAACAACACCCGGCTCACATTAAAACACCCTCAGTTGTAAATTTGTCCCAAAGAGCCGCCTGTGTCTCCACGCTGTCTCCTTCTCTCGTCTTTTTAACGGAGCGGTCGTGAAGAAGGCTCGGTCAGCGGTAGTTCTCTCTCTGGGTGACCACGCCCACATTCTGATCAATCACAACAAGCGCTCAGTAGTAAAGCACTGCTAACAAACACCTTAGCATGATGCTAACCGTTCGCTAACATCTCACTCGTTCCACAATTTTTGTGCCATTTCAACGTCATATATCAAAACCTTCAGCTCACTCATGTCAGGAGTACTATGACTTTTGGCATTTCAGCTTTTTATACATTTTTAGCTATTTCACTTTTTTAGCCACCTTTTTGCCACTGAAAATGAATGGAGCTGTTTTTAACATCCTTAAAATCCTTTAAAATGTTTATAAATCTTTACAGCATCTTACACATTTTGTTCTGCTTGTGCTCTTTTTCATTTTCTTGTGCTAATATAGCTAGTTCCCTCCCCCCAAATTTTAGCTTTTTGCTGCTATTTCAGCTAAAATTCTGCTTCTTTCTGCTATTTTTCTGCTTTTTCTACTTTTTGTATTTTTTTCTGCTACTTTGTGCATTTATGCTTCTTACAGATGCTTTCTGCTATATTCAGCTGTTTGCTGCAATTTTAGCTGTTTAGCTCTTATTAGCTAAAATTAACTTTTTAGGTTAAATGCACACTTTTTGTAGCTAAGTTCAGCAGACTTGTGCTTCTTATGCTTCCTTATACTGATTAAATAATTTCCAGCTACTTTTTAGCTGTTTTACTGAAAATTTCAGCTGTTTTGGTTATTTTACTATAAATTATACCTTTTATGTAATTTTTTTCTGCTTTTTTCTGTTTTTGCTGTTTTTCAACTATAACCATTTCAAATGGGTGCTAATTTCAAATTGTGGCTGCTACCTTTAGCTAATTCTATGCTAATTTTAGCTATTTTGTGCTACTTTAGCTATAGATCTGCTATTCTTCTGCCTTTTTTTACTTTTTATGCTTTTTTTCTGCTACTTAGTGTTATTCATGCTTCATACAAATGTTTTCAGCTATATTCAGCTATTTTAGCTCTTAGCTTTTAGCTGTTTTATGGTTTCAACTAGATTTGTGCTTCTTTTTACTGTTTTTCTGCAGTCTTTTTTGCTTCTTTCAGCTTTTCAAAGTGAGCTCACATTAACACTTCTTTTTAAATATTTTCAGCTCCATTTCAGTAGACTTCAGCTGAAGTTTTCAGCTGAAGCGTTCACACTAGCATTTTTGCAGGATATGCTAATTCTCTAGTTTCTGATGTTTCTAGCCATCATGATGTCGTCGCTCCCCAGCTGTTTCCTGTCCAAGCCCTGAAGGGGAACGTCAAGTGAACAATGTGTGCAGATTTGCTCGCCTAATAAACTTGGCCCAGGAGGTTTATAAACTGGAGGAGGAGGAGGAGGAGGAGGAGGAGGAGGAGGTCAGAAATTGTGAACATAGTTTGTTGTGAAAGAAACCAGAAAGTTGCACTCAGTTGTGCGCTCTCGCTGTCCTGAGTTGTCGTTCTCCGTTCTTCGATGAATGATTACTGCCGACGCTTCAGCGGGCCTACCTGGTGTTCTCATCGTAGAACTTGACCTTCCTCATCACGGAGGTGTTGTACCAGTCACTGAAGACGATGAGCGACAAACCGTTGTCGATGTCTCTCCTCAGCTTGGTGATCTCTTCAGGAAAATACTCCTCCTCACTGTCCACCATCAGCAGGGTGCCTGCGGGTTTGAAAACAAGCATCTTATTGTATATAAATTTATTTTTTTAATGAAATGAATAAAGGAATTGAATTGAATTGTATAGCAACCTCACATCGATGACCTATCCACGTCATCATTTACCCAGAATGCTTTGCATGTAAATAAAACGGCTCAGTCCTTGTAAAAATATATATTTTTAAATTTACAAAACCACAGTATTTTTTTTACAGTTAAAATTTAAGTTTATCAAATAAAGTCTAATGTTACAACTGATCGTGGATCCCTTTAAACACCAGACTTCTGTTGGAGTCGTGGCGTCCGTACCGTACTGACTGGCATCGAAGCAGGTGATTGGTGCTCCCAGCACTTCTACAAAGTAACCCATACTCCTCAGGTGCTGGTACATGTCTCTGAAGTTAGTGTGGATGTGGTCCCCGTTCCTGAAACATAGAAATATTCACAAACCTTTAACACAGACGGAATGAAGGAATGAATGAATGAATGAATGAATGAAGGAATGAATGAATGAATGAATGAATGAAGGAATGAATGAATGAAGGAATGAATGAATGGTAAAGTGATTTGTAGAGATCCGCACCAGTCGAGGGGATCGTTCTTCATCCTGAGGTTGTCCCGGGGGAAGTACCCGGGTGGGTAGCGCAGGTTGTGGTACTGGTCCCACAGCACCCTCTTGCTGCGAGGTGGAGTGGGCACGATCTTTACCTTGATGGGCAGTTTGACCGTGGAGGTCAGCTCCCCCCCGACCTCCGACTGCAGAAACAAACAGGAAGCAGGGTTTGCACACTTCTGCCACAGTAAAATTCAAGCCTTTTCAAGGATTATCAAGGATTTCAAGCACCCAAACAAACCCAGACCAGCTGAGTACAGAGCCTTTCTAATGATGGACTCCTCCGAATCAAACAGACAAAAAATGCTGACTTTTGTTTTACTTTAAACAAAATAAATCCAACATCAAAGTGTTTCTGTGGAGACTCACATCGTTGTCTGCGGGCGACGCCACCGTCACCATCACATGACCCTGAGCCACTCCCTCCCACGACGCAGCTTTCTTGGCCACAGAGATGGACACGGCCAGGTAGCCGGCCCACGGCCACAGCACAGGTGAGTAGGAGACGGCCACGTCGATGTGGTCGCCGTTCTGCGGCAGGTACGGCTGCCAGACGGGCTGAAGGCAACGAAACAGGGTTTGGGATTAAAGGAAACACAACAAACAAACAAACAAACAAAAAAACATCAATGCATTGTGAGAATGTTTATAAAGCATTGTTGAGATATATTTTCTGTACATTTTTTTGGCACGTATCTCATTCTGCATTTTTCGTACTATTTCAACTGTTCAGCTGTTTCAGGACATTTTGGCTGTGACTTTTGGTGTTTCAGCAATTTATACTTTGACATATTTAGCTTTTATTGACATTTTTCCTCATAAAAAATGAATGAAGGTGTTTTCAACAACTTTAAAAC